CCCCTTTTGGCCCCCCCCCCCCTTTGGACGTCTCTAGATCAGTCCCTGACAGTCGTCTCAGACTTGTTTCCCTCTAAAGCTCTGTCCAGATTATCAAATTTCCTTTGAAAAAAACTGTTGTATGACCATAGATATTCATGACGTGCCTATATATGGTCATGATGTGATGTCATCATGACCATATTTAGGGCTGTCTCTTATACACATCTAGATGTGTATAAGAGACAGCGGCTAGACGATCTTGGATGAAATCTGGAAAGAAGTAGGCTTAACATCTTTAAGTTTATGTTTTAAGAGAGTACGGTAGCCTACTAGGCCTACATGTAACATACATGAGAAGCACACACACAAGACGGGTGACTATATTTTTTTTTTCAAAGTCACCGAAGGGGGGGGGGGGTTGGCTAGCCACCCCATTCACCCCTAGATCCGCCACTGTTCAATGACTTGTTTGATCCCATTAAATGAGCTACCGTAAAACTTAGAATAGAAGCCCGGGATTCTTCATTTATTTGGGCCCTAGGATGGGCTTCTTTCCGGGATGGTCTTCTGTTCTAAATTACTTTTGCAAACTGAAAAGACGGGCTTCTTTTCAAAGCAAATGCTGTAAATTTTGGAATTGCTACTATACGACATTTTTTCAACTATGGAATTCGAAATTCTATTTAATTCTTTAAATTATAACCATGCTGTACAATAAAATACTACTGATACTGACACGCTATCATAATCATCAGCGATAACGTCAGTCTGAATGTTAGAAAGAAGCCTATATTATCTTGATTGGAAGCCCATGGCCATATTTTTCGAGATATGGGCTTCTTCTCGAGGATAAGCCCATGGGGCTTCTATTCGAGGTTTTACGGTATTCAAAATTTATTTTTGTGACAGAGAGTGTGTCTTCTATCTTACAGTAGTCTAAACTGAATGGCATCGATGGCTGGTTTATTAGAACCAAAGAAAGTACGTCAGTAATGTGTATTCTAAGACAAATATGGTGTAATTGATGTGTGAAGGAATACTGTAGACTGGTTTGTTTTTCAGAGATGGAAGGGAGTGTTTCAAAACAAATCTTTTTGTTGATTGCTTTGAAAATGTTTATAAATATAATTAAATACTGAAGCAAGTTCTAAACAAAATTACTATATCCATCAATTGAAAATTCTATTCTATTCTATAAATTGTTAGCGCTGGTTCTGTTCACAAGTTATTATTTGTTGGCTTCCTAAATATTTTTGATTTGCTACGTTAGCTTGCAGGCTTGCATGTTGAGCCTCCGTGGCTGAGGCTATAGACGTAGACGCTAGCTACTAGACATAGTACAGATAGTTTTGCTGTAACGCAGTTAATAAGTTAATACAAGATAATATTTCGACTTTGAGGCCAAATAAAACAAAATATTGTTGGCCACGCCCGACTGACCCAAAATGTACGAAATTGAGGTTCGGCATTTTATATCTTATTCTATTTTATTCATTTTTTTTTTTTGACTACAAAAAATATTTTTACGAGGTAAAAAGGGTGGAATAGGCCTATCTTGTTTGACGATAGGCGCCGCGACAGTGTTGTGCGGCCGTTTTGCTCTTCAAGGTAGATTAAAAAATGGTCTTTGTTGTATTGTGTATTTTCAAGCAAACAACATCGAAATAGCAATGCAGCTGCTACTTAGGGATTGTCACTAAGCGCAAGCTTGGTGGTCCAGTGGTTATGACACCAGGTTAGTTATCTGGAAGTCGTGGGTTCGTTTTCACCTGAATCACTTGCAAGATTTTTTTATGCTAGTATTTGGGAACGTACTAAGCACTCAGTACAACACATCAGGCAGGTCAAAACATGACAAGTTTACAGATTTTATATGATTTTATAGCTATTTTATAATACAGTAGTCACTTACCGATGTGCGTTCTTGAATTCTACGCACTCGACTGTACATTCAATAGTGTATAAATTCAAAGCTAGTAATAAAGCTCATCTTTGATCCTGCAGTAGTAAATTTAATTAATATGTAGTACAGTATTGCTTTATGCTGTAGCATCCACAATTTTCCAAAAGCATTTTGAGACAAATGAGCAGATAGGAATAACAACCTTAATTGTATATACAAGAAATATTCATCTTTATTCAAAAGCTATGTCCAAAGGAAAAAGCATTGAGCATATACCTCAATACAGAAGTTCTACAAAAGTTTTTTTTTTTTAAATGATTAAAAAAATACCAAAAACTTGGACTAATTATGTATCATAATTAATTTAAAAAAGACCCTCCAAATATGAAATTAATTAACAAAAGATTCTTAGCAGGAATTACAAATGAAAGTACAGTACACAATTATTCTTCCAATTCCTACCTAAATAATGGTTGGTATGACTATTGTTTTGTTTAAAAAACTAAATGTTTTCGGTCAGATAATACAATATTAAGCTGCGCAACTTGTTTAAAATAAAGATAATTTTCTGATAACAGGTAAAAGTTGCAGCCAATTCAGTGTAAAAGAAATGTAAATATATATTTTTTTCTCAGACGATTTGTTGTTATTTTTTTCCACAGAAAACTTGAATTCATTATGCATTTAGATAGTTTACAACATAAAATATTTAAGACACCAAATGAGTAGTAAAATCAAACAAAAGATACAAAAATTAAAATTAACACACCATAAACACATGTTAAAATTCATTAATAATTAGGCACAACACAAAGCAAATTTACAGACATAAATTTGTTTTCCAAAAGTTAGCAAAGCAAAAACTTTTGCAACAACTTCTAATAGCATTCTCACTCTATCACATGTTGTTAGCCACGAACACAGTATCATGGCCAATAAAGTCTAGAGATCCAGAATGTTTACATTATGAAAATGCATAGAAAGCAGGGCAGATCCGGTAAAGGCCTGGGGAGGGGGAGGGGGGTGTGTGTGATTGATATAACAATACCCTAGACGATCCAGGGTCATGCCTCCACAAACAATTTTTTTTCTAGACGCCCAAAAATAACATCTGAAACGTTTTTTTTTGGCGATCAATTATTTCTTTTTCTTTGTTCTTTTTTTTTCATTTTTTTTACTTTCCGACACTAAATCCGCACCTGGAAAGGTGAACTATGGACTCAAAATGAATTTACTAGTTGAGGGAATAATACCTTACAGTGACATTTTTGTTGTCAGGAAAATTGCAATTAACATCTAATATAATTGAGTTCACATTCATGCTGGTATAAATGAAAATATCCTGAATTGGCAATACTGTGAATGGACCTTTCCACAAGCACCGCTCCTTGGATATTGTTGCTAAGGTCCTGGCTATTATACTGTGGATGGACCTTTCTGCTAAGCTAAGCCACGCCCCTTGGATATTATTGCCAAGGTCCCACAAAAAAATAGCGTAAATGTATACACAGTAATCACATGCACTGTGGGACACAGTGTTGATGTGCTGATTGGTTAGTTGTTAAATTTGATTGACACCCTGGAAAGTCCATTGCAATGATGTTCTCATTTACATAAAGAGGCACCTGTGAGAACGTGCCTACCACATAACACATAAGAATGTTACCTACAAAATATAATAATCAAAATTAACAAAATAACAGCATATTGCTCTAATGCATTTAAAAAATTCATTTCTTATCTGATAGCAAAAATGAGGATTCAATAGGACTAATTGAACACTACACAATTCTATAATATATACCTAATATACACATTTTAAAAATTAATTTAAACTATTCAATGATAGAAATACTTCAAAATTGTAAAGATTTGATTACACCTTTAAGGCATTTAGTGGGTGACAAGATAATTATTGACACATCATTTTTACAGAAAATTTGAAATGTACTTGTTTGCATCCCATTATGTAATTAATAATATTTAGAGCCTGATCATTTATCAAGTAATTCTTTGTCCACACTATAAAATTTCCTTTAACAAAAGACTGTTGTATGTGCCTATATATGGCCATGATGTGATGTCATCATGACCATATTTAGGGATGTCACATGTTTTTGTCAAATAAAATTTGCTAGTCTGTACAAAGCCTTACGTTGGGGTTGAATGCTTAAAACATATGTGGCAAAGACAAGCCAAACCAGTCACTCGTCTCAAAAACCAATTTTGAGTTATTAATACAGTAAAAACAGTAAAATGAGAGCTATAAAATGGTAAAAGAATCATTTAAATCCGACACTTCATTATAAAGTTACACGAGTTTAAACATACAGCTGTTTAAAGAGCAATATTTGAGAAATCAACCTTTAAAGTTTACGATTCCAGGCATTTCTTAGGCAGAAACCATCACCAAATCGTTAAAAATTGTTGTTTTAACATTGAAAATGAGGAAAATAACAGAATAGCATGATGTATAGATATATAAAGGTTAGTTTAGTGCAATAAAATAGATTTCCAAAATTTTGAAATTCCAGCATGTTTTGGCCATTATCTCCAAAACAGGATTTGCGACGAGTGACTGGTTTGGCTTGTCTTTGCCACATATATGTCACCTTAAAAAAACTGTCCTAAAATTCGACTTAATGCCAGAGATGTATCAATTATTTAATGAAATTTCAAAACCATTATCATGGATGTAGTATTATATCACCCTCTCATTTGACTTCAATTCATCTGACATTTTCTGACAAATTTATATTCTCAAGAATGTCAAGATTTGGCGACAACCAACATGAATGATTGAGTGTTGAACAGTATCATCTCAAAAATCGTCTAGAATCTTTAAGTGTGTAATGACAAGGTCAAAGGTCATAGCATATAAACAATCACACAGCAGCTGGTATGGCTTATACCATCGTCTAAATTCTATAGTCATTTTATGGCTTTTATTATACTAAAAGTATTTTTCAAAGTATGTATCACCATAGAGTACATTTCAATAATTCATCAGTTTATGTCTTGACCTTTGACATTACCAATATATCCATTACATGTGTGAATATATGAGATGGTTTGTGTTTCAAGCAGTGACAATGTTTGTCACATGACCACAATTGACAGCACTAGTGTTTACTGACATTAAAAACATTAATGCTGATAAAAAACATTTTAGGCACAAACTCAGTAATCATTAACAATTATTGTAATTATTGTATTTCTTGATGTCAGACCTGCATATGCCAACGTATATACAGGTATTCAATTAATCTTCTCTAATAGTAAACCAATTATTTTTATGTTTTATGTGTAATGACACTGAATACACAATAAAATAAAATGAAATTGTATTAAAGAAATAGTGAATACAATTTAAAAAATTGGGACATAATAGGAATAATGTTACAATGTCACTAGATAACAATTATTTGAATAACTTATAAAAAAAAAAAGTTTTAGCTAAAAATGGTCCTTCATATAGCTGTTTAACACAAGATCATTGATTGAATATTAACAATCAGAGGATGTTAGAACACATCAAAAAGGTCACATACACCTTCACTATCGTCAAGATTGAAGTAGTAGTCGTTGTCGCCTGGTGGAGGTGATAATCGCAGTAAAGGTGCAAACACTGATGGAAAGAAAAGAAATATGGTATAATAAGTAACAGATTAGTATCTATTCCTATGATATAAAATGACACAGGTAATGATGTTTGTTATTTTGCTTTTATTTCAAATTCACAGGCATAAAGTAGTGAGTGACTGTAAAAGGAAGGAAAAAAAAAATGTTTGTTGACTTGTAGAATACATTCATATTCAGAAAAACTAAGCATGACTTGGTTACTAGTTAGGTCTCGAAGTTTGTTTAGCAGAACAGGGTTATGATGTTATGATGCTTTAATTTGCATTTAAAGGTGTGAATATTGTCAATTTCCTTCAAAGAAACCAGAAGGGCATTCTTTGATACCATTTTTGGAAAAGGAAAATTGTAAATGCAGTTTAAATGTAGGTACACTACAACAAAGTAATTATGATTACTATTCCTTGGATGTAGTTATGGTGGGCGGGGCCAACCAGCCTCATAGTTTACCACCCAGTCTAAAGCTAATTTCATGGCCCTACACTCACAATTAGTAACCCAGTTTCCCATTCTTAAAATCCACTCTTATTAATTAGAGTTTACCAAATGTTGTGAGGACTATCACATTTCCTTTGACAAAATACTGTTGAATGCCCATATATAGTCATGATGTGCCTATATATGGTCATTATGTGATGTCATCATGACCAAATTTAGGTATGTCACATGTTTTTGTCAAATAAACTTTGATAGTCTGATCAGAGCTTTAGTTGACCATGAGACCCACAGACCATTTACAGAGATTAACAACTTACTTTCTGAATCTAGAATAAAGTCATCTATAAGCTGCGAATCCATTGTCGGATCAAAGAGGTCTCTTGAAATATCTGAAATGCAAATTATACTATTATCATCACATGTATTTATATAACATAATTACAATAACTAATTGTGTATTTATTATTTATTTGTTAAAAGACAAACTTTTCCCTATGGGGATTCAAACATATGACCCTCCAATTACCATTCTATATCTTTAGCTGACTGTGGTATGAGGACAAGATATATCTCAAAGATATTATATAATGCAGTGTATACAATAAATTACAAGATATTAAACAATATTAATAGTATAATTATGAAGATTCAAATGTAGTGGTTTCTGAATAAAATAAAGAGTTTTAAAAACTTCAACACTACAACATGTTTTCTCACCCACCGACCAATGTTTTTTCCCAACCAATCAGTTGGTTCGGCAAAAGCGTTCTGGTGAGAGGGAAAAAATTGTAGTGTAGAACTGTTAATTTTAATATTTTCAAGCGCATGAGACTGTCCAGTAATATGCGCTATAAAAGTACACATCCATTACCATTATATGTATTTCTATTTAGATATCTGTTAAACATACAGTATAAGCTTCAGACCTCTTTAAGGAGCTCTACCAATTTGTACAAGAAATATTTTCAGATGCAGAAAATTCTTTTCTACATTTAATTCACTTATTGAAGTATGTTAAAGGCAAGGGTCCCCAAGTCTTTCGTGAGTAGAAGTAGCCTTCCATAAGTTGGAAATCTCACACTCTCACATGCAATATAACATATTATTATAATATAAAGGCTAGGCCAGATGCTAACACTTAGTATTCCAGTGCCTGTGAGTCATGTAGCTGCTAACCACTGCTTATCGGTGATGGTTCCTCTGCGTTAGTTTGTTCCAGTTATTAATTTAGCATGGTTAACTTAGTTGACCTACTAGAATAGATTTTGCTATTTACGTTTTCTCAGCGAATATATAACATATATTACGCATGTAAGTCTTCAACCAATACCATTACCATAATAAATGTAATATTAGTAAGGTTTCGTATGAGTTCTGGATACTTACCAAACGATTCATGCTTTTGTGCTTTAAGGGGCTCAACAGCTGATGTAGTATCCATTGCTACATCCTCTGCTGGGATCAATCTACCCGCTGACTGACTTCCGCCATTTGCTTGACCCACCCCTAAGCTGGGACTTGACAGGTCATGGGGTGGTGGAACCGGTAGCACAACAGGGCTACTACTCGATGTGTCTTTGTTCACTAGTAGTACATAGATTGGACCATTAAAACTTTTAAGATGAATTTGGTATTTCTTCTTGTTATCAGCACCCTGAAACATAATATCAGTAATTATCAATCTAACCAAAGTAAAAAAAAGAGAGCCTAGTCCCACTTGTAAATACATTACTACCATAGTAACGATGGAAGGTCTATCGTCGTCATAACACAAGCCACTGCATTTGGTTGTCTCATGAAAGTGTGCCCTACATAAGATATTAAAACGCATTCCTTAAAAAAAATAGTAACATTGATCAATCTAACTATTGCTCTCTATGAAAGAATTGTATCTTGTGGAACATGATAAACAACAAACAGTGCTAGGCACTCAGGGTAAAAAAAGTTACAACTAAACTGAGGGGGCGTCCTATAGCTGCAAATAAGGGCGTTATCCTTTGTTTACGCTCGCAAACATGCATACTCTCTCCCCTTTCTATACGCTTTACTCTCCCCCCTTTTCAACACTCTTATATCGTACTTAATGAAAATTTGGTTTTTGGCATTTGTTTCTTTTGAAATATAAACTTTGATAAACGATTGTGTGATGAAAGAGCTTACTCACCCTTTCTGGAACAGGAACTTCTAACTGGGTACCTGATGGAGCTTGTATTGCTAACAGCGTGTCATTCTTAAAACATTTACAAAGATCCTCATGGTTAACATATGCTAATGTGAAGACAATGTTAAAGATAAACAAAGTGTGGGTAGGCCTATCATCTTGTGTTACATGAAAAAAAATACAATACAATACAATAAAATAAGAGTTTCATTTAAAATCAAAAGCAAATTTGGAGGTTTTTGCATTTTGGTTAATGCATTTTAAAGTCTTTTTTTTTTCGCATTCTATACATAGAAAATCCAATTTTTTTTTCATTCAATATGTTGAAACTTTGATTTTAGAATATCATTAAAGAGACAGTTTAAAGAAAATATGCAAAAAACTCCAAAAATTGAGTTTCTGTAACAGCTGCAGTCATTACAAAATTGGAGCGAATACAAAACTATGAAAGGAGGTGAGGGAGAAGAGAGAACTTGTAATTCAAAGTTTGTTTAAGATTCAAGCTTATGTTTCATCGTTGTATAATGCAAATAGTTTATGAAAGGATATCTGCTATTTTCTTGGTCATCAGTGACGTTCTTAATGCTCTGTTGTACCCATTCCCTTTGTTCATCCAGCTCACGTTCCCTATCTTGTAACTCACTCAATTCCTCCTTTAAAACTTCTAACCTATCAGCAAGTTCAGTGGTGTTGCAGCCTGGCCCAGCTCCCCTTTAATAAAAACAACAACATTCATTAACTGTACTTCTTAAATAATTCCTTCATAGGTCCTAGCATAGCATAGAAAGAACAACATAAGTTACCATTGAATCTTTGACAATCAGACAAAAGACAATTAAAGAAAAAATTAGGATCTAATAAAGGAATAAAAAGAATACACAATAAACAAAATATCAAAAAGGCATACATTATGTACAGTAATAATAGTCAAAATGTATTCATAAGATTAAGAAAGATCAAATGAAAATATAAGCAAGATCTATTACTATTATACAGGTTAGATACTGTATACATAATTACAACCATGAACAAAAATGTAATAAGATAGGCAAGATCAATTTCAATAGAAGGCCAAGTGAGAGTTTAATAGTACAGGTTCAGATACATGAAAATCATTTGGTATACAGTACTGTATGATCTATTATGAATATGTATTGACATAACTTCAGGAACTACAGTGTTGCAGTGTCAGCGCCACAAGTTTATCAATAAATTATTGTGAGCCCGTGATAAATTGGACTAATCACAATAAAATGCAACAAGAATAGTTTATAATGAGAGGACTCATTGCCTTTTCCTTTGTATTGGTATCTGGTTTGACCTTTATTCAAATTTTACATCCATAATGCAGTAAAGCCTGGTTTCCCATACAATCGCTGACAGCTTTCGGTGATGCTGATTGGTCATCCCTAAAAAAACCCCCCAAATTTAATTTATTTCAATACAAACTTACTTTATCACCGTATCAATTTCCATCGCTTAAACGAAATACAATTGAAATCAAATCTGCAACATTAGTCCATAATCTTGGTGTGATATTGTGACCAATTCCTCACTTTCCAGCTGCATATCAAGTTCCATCTGCAAATCATCTAAATACCATCTTTGAAATATCCACCGAATTAGACAGTACCTCGACAAAAACTCAGCTGAAACTCTTGTTCATGCTTTTATTTCAACAAAACTCGATTATTGCAATTCCCTTTTTTTTTCGGCTGCCCTCTTCTTCTCTTTACCGGCTTAAAAAAGTACAAAATTCTGAAACTCTTGTTCATGCTTTTATTTCAACAAAACTTGATTACTGCAATTCTCCCCCCTTTTTTTTTCCTGCCCTCTTCTTCTCTTTACAGGCTTAAAAAAATACAAAATTCTGCAGCCCGTGTGTGTACACTTTACCCCAGGCCGTCGTCATATTACTCAAGTAATCTTGGCCCTTCATTGGTTCCATATTAAAGAACGAATTGTTGATCCTCATTTTAACATATAAAGCTTTATTATTTTCTCGTCCATCTTATATCACTAAACTAGTTCCTCTATACTGTATGTTCCATCTTGCCGCCTTTGTTCTTCTGACAAATCGTTGCTATCTGTTCCTTGTTTCCGTATAAGACTTACGGTGGTCATATTGTTTCTTGTGCAGCATCTTCTCTTTGGAACGAACTATCATCATTTATTTAAGACTCATCCTCCCTTGATTCTTTTAAAATAAACCTAAAGACTTATTTGTTCACCAAACTTCAGGGTACAATGCACCTTTGATCATTCCTTTTTAATTGGCGCAATTATATAAATTTTTGATTGATTGGTGGAATGGATCGGGGAGCCTTTCCGATTGTGTCGGGAACTGCTACTGTATGCAGTACAACGATTGCAGTTGCAACAGCGTAGCAATTGTATGGAAACCAGGCTGTAGTACCCATGATTTGTACATATGAGTGATATGACACCATCTGTCTATACTGTAGACAAATCACAGGATATTTTTTCAGAGAAACAAAAATATAAATGGTTTTGTATAGTATAGTATAGTATTAAAATTGGCCAGGAATATATTTTTTTGTTATCAGTTTCAAATAAAAGCAAACACCTTATATTACATTTTATACACTAAAAGCATGGCAAAATTAAAGTTTGATAACTTTTTAATGAAGATAGATAATTTACATTATAATTAAACCAAAGACTTAACAATAAGTATTTTGTACAATAAGTACAAAATACATACATGTCCTAGCAATATGAAACTCTATCCTTACACCTTAGAGCTACAGTAATGAAGGAAATGAGTATAACAAAGACAATTCCAAAAGAAAAATATTATCACTACACACCAGCACTTGACAGAACAGGAAAAAATAGCCTATTCCATACCTGACAACCTTAGTACCATAGTGTTCAACAGACAGTGAAGATGGAAGGGTATAATAATTGTTTAAAATAAATGACCATGAAAATATTAACCAGTAAATGTAAGGTAGAAGATTAACCTACAAGTCCCAGCATCATTGTGCTGAATAGCAGTCATAGAAAGGGGTTTAGTACAGTAGTTTCATGTTCACAACATTTGACTGTGACAAGGGCTAAATAAACCGGTGATAATCCCAATCAAACTCATATCAGGGAAAGTAAGGTCTCAAACTAGCGCCAATGATAAGGCCGCTGCCTTACCGCTTAGCCACTTTCCTTGTCCAAGTAAAAGGCACCAGACCTCTTAAGTTCCCAGAAATTTGCGGATTTCCCAGATTTCTAAGGAGTTTCCTCGCTTCCCAGAATTTTTACAGTTTTTTCCAGAAAATATATAATTTTCATTGTGAATATTAAAATGGCTCCTAAATGTACATTTTCAATAATTAAACAACATTTTTCTCTTCCAAATAATTAGGTTACTTAATTTAAACAACTCCATGCCTTTGCATCAACAACTAAATTCAATAAAATTCAATTTTGATTTGTTTTGTTTTTCTTCCTAATTATTGGCAAAGAATTATATAATTATATAATTGAATACAATTTTATATATTGTGTTTTAATTTATTTCTGTTTTTTTTTTTCTAACTACCCTCAGGTTTTTAGTTTTTCTGTATTATCAGTATTGGTTATTTCTTGTTACTGTATGTACCAATTGTATTGTATTTATGAAAAGCAAAAAAAAAGAAAAAATAAATGATTGAATGAATGAATACTAAGAGCAGCCTTTGACTGCTAGTAGAGCATTTTCTACTGAGACACACCATAACCGTTTCCCCCCCGATAAACTCATCTCAATGACCTTAGATGAGTGCTTGAGCCTATCAACTCAGACCTGATAATAATAATAAGGGTCCTCTCATCAGAATAGCCTATTGTTCTCTCTTCCAGGTGGGTGGCTTGAAGTAGCTAAGCAAACATCATTTACCTGTTGTTCTCTACTAAGTTATTCTCTAAGGGTTGTAACCTTAACCTAGATATAACATACCAATACCTTATAATTAGGACCTCTGTTATATAATAACGGCAATATACTGTAATGCTACACAGCAAGATTTTCATTTAAAAACCTAATTGGAGACATATTATATCCTAGTACTAATTCTAAAGTGGAAAATATTTACATTATAATTAATACAATAAAATAGAAAATCCATTCAAATTCTTTCTGGCAAAAATACTAAGGCTGTACTGTATGTAACCATTGGTAACAGCAATATCATAACTTTAGTTTGAATTCATAATGCAAATAAAAAATGAATTATAAGTTAGTGACAGGAATATACAATGAATGTCCTTGAATTTATTTAGCTTTTTTTTTTAAATGGAAGATAATAGTAAGGAAACTGCAGAGTTGAGATATTTACAATACATCACTATTGACATATGGTAGCCTTACACAGGATGTAGATTAGTTGGGATAGTTTTACTACACAATAGAAAACAAAGGGCTTAGGCCACCCATGTTCCAAGATCATTGGTTGTTGCTATGTTATGTCAAGGCAATGTGAATGAATATAGATTACCTAGATCTTTAGCACAATGTTTAAAAACACTTAATGCTGAGCTCGTAATTTAAGTGGAATCATGCATATTTGGGCACCTTGCCACCTAACACACATCTAGGCTCTACAGCAACTTTCTGCAAACTGTAGAATACTGTACCTTTGTAAGAGTCAATTTAAGAATATTTGGGACTGGCATTAAATGTGAGTAATCACAATCAACCAGTAATTATAAGTAACAATTGCTGGTACTAAAGAATTTTCTGAAATGAAAAAAAAAACATTTCCTCTCTTTCACAAAAGGACAGATGTCAATACCTTAACTTATCCTTAAGAGTCAAATTTAATTCCTATAAAATGTCCAAATATCTGAAATAATTTTGTTTCATGAAATCAAATACAAATTGATATTTTTACTGGGTTTTTTTTAGCCTCTTAGTCTTTAAGATATTGGAATCTGATTTTGTCTGGCTATATACGTCTGATGATATAAAAGGAAATTTTTGACTGAATATACTTACTTCCATTGTATGCTATTCTTGGACTTCTTTTCTATCAAACCTATTCCTTCTAAAACATTTGTTATATCATAAATTCTTCTCTTCTGTCGGACAGCAAGTGTATCTGCAGCCTGTGAAAAATAATTAATAGAAATTGTTCAACAAAACATTTTTTGCTGAATTGGCTCCTGCTGTTACCAAAATATTGAAATGGATAACAAAGCATTGGGATTGAAATGTGAATATGACACATATAGAATATATAGTTACACAGTACTATATTACAGTTCTGTTTATACCCATTTTTCTAGCGGTTTTCACAGCAGTTATTCAATAAGTTATTAATTTATCCCAGACAAATAAAAATTTTTTAATAGCATGGTGCTAAAACCCATGTTCATCGCCTTAAATAAAGGAAGGGTCAAGTGAGCCCCCTGCTGATCCCTAACTCTGAAATTGATATGGTTATCGTGTGATGTAAAAATTCTCAGAATCAACCTTACACACCGGATGCAGAGGGGGTGCGATCACAGCCCTTAAACCGTAAGAAAAATAATTGTTGTATTACAGTATATTGTTGATATGAATTACCGTTAACATTTTTAAGGTAAGAGAGTGCGCTTTTCGGGCACTTAGAAGTCCATATTCTCAAAATGTTAGCACCAGCCCCAACTGGTCTGGACTTATACGCACCCCTGACCACCTAATCCTGCATCCACCACAGATAATTGATAATTCATCCCGGTAAAATAAATTGGCAATACTAATCAATTATTATCCTGTAAAGGTGGTTAGGCCAGATCTAGCTTCGGCACTAGGCCCAGTTTGAATGGTATTTTTTAAACAAAAACTAAAAAATATTTAAAAAAAAAAACCAGCTTTATTTTCTTGACTGTCCAGTTAACATCTTTCACATCATAATCATACAATTAAATGCCAAGAATAGGTCTATTACATCTTCATTACTTCATTAATTCTAATTAAACGACCATAATCTAGACAGACGCCGGTTGAAAATATAAAATCATTCGCCATGGCTAAGCTAGCTAATGTAATGGTCGTTTGGCGTTGAGCTTATCGATCCAGCTTGGCTACACTGCCGACGCTCTGGCTACATGATGCGAGCAACGTGAAAAGGCCTTTCAGAAAAGCCACTAAACTACTATAAGGAACAGAAATATCTCGTTATTTTTAAAATACCAAACCTTTTTAAGATCTAGCACCCCATCTTTGGCATCCTGAAGTAGTGTAACAAACTTAGTTGTAAGTAAACCCAGGCTTTTTTCGTGCCGACTTAAAGGCTGCGGCGTGGTGTCAGCCATCGTTGTGCTAGCCTACTCTATTCTTGTGTTTGATAGCAGACCGTTATTTGACGAATCCTGGGAAATTGAATTTAGAGGGCGCCCTTTGTAAACAAATGATTTAAAAACCAATGAGCGGACGCACAGCGTCCAAAACTCGACACAATGAACGGTATCAGGCACAGAGTATGTGTTCATTTTTATTATTTTATTATTGAATGGTATTGCGCCCAGGTTTATGTTTTTTGTATCTCATCTCAAACTCTTAATTTATGCCTATCAAATTAGGCTAGGCCAAAATTTGATATAAACGTTTTAAAATATTGATATTTTTTTTATGATCCCTGGTGAATATCTCTCCTAACTCTCCCCGCACCCACCACGTAGCACTGTCACTGGCGTTGATGAGCATTACTATTCATGAGATTGGCATTAGGCGGCGGCCGATCTCTATATTGTTATTTTTAAATGTCTTTCAAGTGATATTTACTTCATTTATACTCGAGCTGCTGTTAACTATATAATACTCATCCCATTTCTTGTGCCTGCATGCTCAACCTAAAACATTTTGATTCTTTTGATGTGCAGTCATGACATTCACAGTACAGTACATGTAATTGGATACAAGACATGCAAAAAATACTGAATGTGGAATACTCAAAAAAGTAATTTACAATTTTAGTCAACAAAAGAACAAACAAAAAACACCAAATAGAAGAAAAGCATATTTATTTGTACTATCTGATCCATACATATTAAGTTCATATAATGAAATATTTAAAAAAACATTTTTTAGTTTAATTATCCCCCATCTTTGCATTCAGGCCCTATTTACAATAAATTTGAAAAAATGTAATTTTTTAATGACAATGCTATCATACATTTCTCATATATACACAGAATAAACCATACTATGTGACACTTGAGTAAGTATTGCGCATAAGTTACATAAGTTTCTTAAATAAATAAAACCATTATCAAAAATAATAACATCATTGTTTCTAGCATTTATTCATGAGAATATTTCTCAAAAAATTATATAAATAGAATTTAAATGAAAGACCATAATTATTGACTGAAGTATATCTTTCCTAAGATAATAAGTATTAAGAACTATAAAAATTAACATACTAATAGTATCTGAATCAGCACACAACTTAACTTGAAGAGTGCTTGGAAACTTACTTATATCTAAATTGAATAATAATAAATTGGTCAACATAATAATAATGACAATAACAATAATAAAAATAATAATAATAATATTGATAATAATAAATAATAACAATAATAATAATGATGATAATAATAATAAATAATAATAATAATAATAATAATAATAATGATAATAATAATAAATAATAATAACAATAATAATAATGATAATAATAAATAATAATATAATAATAATAGCAATTTATGCAAAGAAAACTATGTTTTTTATTTTAATGAAATAAAGGAAAATCTAGATTAAAATATAAACTATGGAATGTTGTCATTTTTATGGACGGATTACTTGGAAAACATCATAATTTAAGGCAAATATACAGTGTACATACTTTCTAACATATCAGCATATTGGATTGGACTCATTCGGTGTAAACACCAAGGATAAACCACGAAAGTCCTAGGACTTATTTCCAGTGGGGCTCTTCTGGTGTTGAATTGGGCAGTACACCTGGAGAAAATCCTCTACTCTTTTCCCATAGAGTGTACTTCATTCTTAAACATGCACATGAGCCATTTTGCATACAGGACCAATGGCTTAAACGTCTCATCCGAAAGAGGTTTTTTTTTTCACACTTGTATTTCTGCCCACCAGCTGAAACACAAGGAGAGCAGCGATGGGAATTGTACCGTGGACCTAGAGATCTCCACGGTTCAGCGCACGGATAGTGGCTACCACCAGTTTGGCCGACTGAGTTAGCAGCGCTCTCTATTATTCTCTAGTATTATTATCAACAGCAAATTACGGTACATTTGCTTAATTACATTACTTCTCTAAATTGTATAATAATACAGTATAAACAATTACTATTAGAGCAAGGAATGATAATTATTAATACAGTATAAACAATTTTACTTAATAAAGCAGCAAGTATATTTTTGTTTATATCATTTTTATTTGATATAAGAGATTGGGAAGCTATAATTCAGGGGTGTATCCAGGATTTTTTCTGGGTGGATCGTGATCATAATATTTTGGACCTTTTCAGTGGGAGACAGGAAAATTGATTACAGTGCCACCAGCTTGAAGCGGATGGCAGGCTCAGTTTGAGAATTGCTGGAATTAAGAGAGATTACGTTACGCAATTGTCAAGGTCTTTGGACTCATTGCTGGTACCTCGTCAATGCTTTTTCATTTGGTCATTGTGAAAAGGCCCTAGAAAGAAATGTCTTTGCAAAAAATATGGACTTTTGAAAATTGGGGGGGGGGGTCGTACAACCTTCTGGAACCCCCTTGCATACACCCATGTAATTATACTCCAAGCCCAGTTTATTTGCCAAAACCATGTGACATGTCTAAATATGGTCATAATGACATAACATCATGACCATATATAGGCACATCATGGCTATATTTAGGGTGCAAAAGAAAATTTGATAACCTGGACAGCGCCTATATACTTCCATGACAACATAGTAAAATACACGATAACATTAAAAGTTTTTTTCCAAAATTAGTTATCTAATTACACAATTATCTATTTACACTTATATCTTCAGCTATGTCAGATTTACTCTGATGCAATTGTCATAAAGAGAATAATAATGGCTGAATTAGGTTTTTAATTAAATACAAAATTAAGCTTTTTAAAAGCACCAAAACACATACATAAAGTTGAAAAGTAGTGTTTGTACAATCAGCTCTTTAACAGTTGTCTTAACTGCAATTATACATCAGAAAATTTACTTTCATCAAAATGATATATTATTATTATTATTAATCATTTTATTAATTTTATGATATATTTTATATCATGTATATTACTATATTATTTCATCAAAAGCATGTACATAATAAACATTACTCATTACAATTATACATTATCCGTTGAAAACATCATCTTTTCTTCTCTCACAATAATTAAGACACAATATAGTTTAACCAAAATATTACTTCTCTGATGCACAGCTGTTAAACATTAATTAATCATCTATATAATTATCACAAAAACAGATGGTGTATTGAAAACATTCTATTCACAAAAACAAATTGATATGCAGAAAAATACTGGAAGAATTTGTAAAGAAACTTGTCAAGTTCAACATTACTCAGCAGATATGTTATTGTACAGTTAAATATATGTATTATTAAAATTTAAAATTGTGATAATAGACAGTAGGACACCTCTTAAAAGTGGTTGGCTGTAGTGATATGTTTTCCCTCGCTTCCAGCCAAAAAAGTGTCAACTTAATTATAGGGATGTCCCAAAGGAGTGGCAATAATTCCTTACAACCAATAACAACTCCACATCCGTAAACCATATCATAATGAAACTTAGTGTATGTAGCACATCATGCGTATATTACAGTATTGTGTTGAAATATACAGTACTGTAATAGTTAAGAGAGATGTATTCAATTTGAATACAATATTAATAATAAGCATCAGCAAATCGATACCTTCAGCCTTTGAGATATGTGGATCAATACCCCCATTCTATTGATATTATTCGTATCATTTATGTATTTAATAAAAAAATATCATGTATTATTATATTTACAAATCTGTCTTGTATTGTTAGCTACGTATGTTTCACTATAGTGACCCAAGCTCACAAAAGGGCTGTAAACTCGTCCTCAGGCAAAAATGAGTCTTTGTTATAATGGCATAGAACATATCATTTACTTTAAAATGACAGTTTAATGAACCCAATCGGTTGTCCTGAAGCAAAGTTATGACCGTTTGAATAATTGTCATTTTATCAACTTTCTTAAATAAAGTTTTGAGGATTTTCGGCAGGTTTCTATTCATTTTTCACTAGCTCCCATCCAAAAATGGCTAAATTTTACCTCTTACAATTGGAATTTTAAACTCAAACTTCAGGAATAGTAAGATTAATAGTTATTTATTACACAAAAACCCAATTCACACATAATTTACATTCTACAGCCTATTCTGGCTATGGAGGTTTGTTTCTCAACACAGCACGGTGCAAGTTTACAGCCCTTTTGTGAGCTTGGGTCACATCATGTACTCATCTAAACATTCCTAGAGACTTCTTCATCATACTTCAGTCATTGTTGTATATACTATACTGCTGTCAATATTTAACAATATGTGTTAATGACAATGTTATATAATAGCCTACATCCACCAACAATCAATTTTATTTTTATATTAAAAATGATCACTCCATCTTGAATTGATGTCAGTATCGATGAATGCTTTTATCAATATACTTCTATGATTTTGTTTCTATTAATACTCATTGTGTTGGGGTTGATAAAGCACTATCAACCTTCATTATGTTACTATCAACCCTAATGTTGAAACTATCCACCTGATATTAAATCCATAAACTTAACAACTATTATCTACATAACACAACAAGCCTTGCTGCCTTCAGCTTTTCCTTTTGCTGGAGATTCAGCCGCCGCTCCTGCCTTTCCATTGGTTCCTGCTGCTGGTTCACTGGCTTTGGCTCCTTGGGCCTTCATTATCTGTAATTTGATATAAAAGATTAAATTAATAGTGTAAATGCATGCCTGATATCGAAGTGAAAAGCAAGTTCATGAAACAGACAAATGTGTAATATTGGTGAATTTGTTTATGATCCCATTAAGCAATTAACCAAGCCTCAGGTTACTTGCTCCATGTATAAAATCAAGTCAGTCTGTCATTTCTAATTACATAAATCCCCTTTTAAAAGAGAACAGTATATAAAGTGATTTATATATTAAATTTAAAAGTCTATAATTCAATTATACTGCATATTTTTTTAATTCTTAAAAACATATTGAAAATCATGTATCTGGTATTCTTAAAAAAATATTCATATACATTTATTAAATCAAATCGTTATTATTTTTTTAAAATATAAAAATCATGCATAT